GCTAGGGGTCATTTTTGACGCTTTTCCGCGCCTGAGCCGTTAGTTTCACGTTGCAGCCACGTGCATTTAGTAAAGTACAATCGATACAGCGTACGTGACTCTCGGTGATTTTTGCAGGAGTATAGTCTTGTTCGCTGTGCACGCTGGGGTTCAGGTGGCTAAATCTGGTGCGGCTACGATCCATTACCAACCACATCGACCACAATAGGTGGAAATTTAGCAGCGCTGAACCCAGCCCTTCTGGAAGACTGCATGTGACAAGATAATCGCGCTATGCCGTGTTGCCGAGTTTGGCGAGCGACGCTGCCCACGAGGCGTCCATTCTTGCCTGCCTCCTTGGATTAGAACGTTAACTGGCTCTTCGAATTCGAACGCTGGAAAAGAGAAGGGACGAAAAAAGGGATAGAAACGTAAGTATTGCATCCAGCTCAAAGGCAGTCGGCACGACAAATCCCTAAGACGAGTAGGATAAATACGCGCAGGACCGAATTCCGCGATGCTGAGGAGGCGCTGCATAGCGCCTCTTCCAAGGAATGTACCCTTAGATTAATATGAAGCGGCTGCAGTGCCGCAGGGATATATGAGTGCATACGTGCACCCAACTTACCATAGCGAGTACTAGCAAGATACCTACGGAAAACTCATCTGAAATTGCTTTTCGGGTCATTAAGAGCGAAGTCTTTTCTTCGCAGGTTTTCGGCCGTTTCACTTGTTTTAGGCCGGGTAGCAAATTACCGTGCAAACAGCCTTAATTTGACATATTCATACGTTTCGCGTCCTGTCGTCCTCCTCGCCTGCCAAAGTGAAACTAATGACCCATTCTTGCGCAGCTCTTGGGAATAATCCAAATCACTGGAAATAGTCATCTCAGCAAATAATCATCCAAAGACTATTTAATCTATTTGCAGGCTAGCCGATTGGCTCCCGTGTTCCGCTCAAAGGATCGCCAGCTAAGGTCTTTTGACTCTCTTCAATCTCCCTCATCGCAGTTGTCATCGTCGATCTCACGAGACAGTACTGCTCGTGTAGGAACGCTTCTTAGCAGCTCTGTAGATTCCCAGTCACCGTCGGCTTGTAGTGTTGCTGCTCGGAAGTTCTCAGCATTTCAATCTCAAGACAGCATCGATAGCGCAGAGTAAGATTTCCAGCCTTTGCTTGACTATTTTCAAGGATGTTCGATTTCCAAATATTGTTTTCGATACGGCTTTGATGATATTTTGCGTTAAGGTCGTTATCTCCTGCATCTAATGGAACGGCGACGCCCACAGATAGGGAAAAGAAACGAGGAAAGTGGAGCTTCCCCGGCTTTCGTTTCAAGAGCAACGATAAAGGATTCAATAAATGAACGCTCTTTGGAATCTTGGATATAAGCTCTGGCACAAATCTGCAAATCCAAAAGGTAGCTGGTCGGACTCCAGCGTGCTATGATTGGCTTTTGGGAAGAAAACACCCCACCTACACCCGGGGCACGTCCTGCTGTTGGCATAAATTCCAGCAACATGCTACCCTCACCCAATCGTTTTCTCCAGTACATGCCCTCTCTTCCCTATCCCCAGCCTACTTAGGCATCTTTCTAAATTTTCAAACTCTCCTTTTCCAACTTTCGTCCAGAAGTTCCTCCACTTTTTGCGGGAAGGGAGGGGAGGGCGAACACGACTTCCTCCAGCGCCAAAATGCGACACCACTTCTTCACTAGGATATTCATTGTGCAAAGCACGGGACGTTGCCTGTCCGTCCACCTTGTCCAATCTCAAGACCCGTACTATTCCGTTTTGATAAGCACTGTTCACACTGATCAATTAGGCGGAGAGAACCAGGCATTCTGTCTTTCCTCATGCTGCAACCATCCTTCCGAAGGAAAAGCGGAGTTGATCAACTATGGGACGAGAAATTGGTTGTCTTGAATGGCTGACTCTTCGTTCTACGGCCAGTGTGAGACTGTGCCTCTTGAGTAGAGCATGACTGGGTATTTTTATTTGCTGTGTGTTACTTTAATTAAGAACGGTTGAGTTCCTTCATTCAACTCGTTTGACCATTTATCACAAGAAAATTGGTATCCTGAATGAGATTTGTGACCATTTGCCGTCACCCGAGTGCCTCGTGTTGATCTAGTCCGTAGGGTTCAGTTTTGAAATGTTGAGAAGTTCATTGAAATGTTTATCTTCCGGAATTCAGCTGTTCTTTAGGTGTTCTTTAGGATAGGAGCGCGATTAGTATTCGGTTTATATTTGGCCCAACGCGTTGAAATCACTTTGTTATTTATAGTCGGCTTTAATTTCCGCCAATCTCATCCATCTACTTTTCTTCTATTGTACTGAAAGCACCTTATTATTTATTTATGATATTCGCTTCACATTATGAAATTTGCAATGTTTCATGTGATTCTAACTATAATAACTTGTTCTGTTGTGATTTCTGAAGATTCTTATGTTGGTTGTGATAAATTGTTTATTGATACTGATACGGATACATATCACTGGCAGCAGAAGCAGAAACAATGTTTTAGAAAATTACTTATCTCCAATTCGCATATAGGAACAGGAGAAAATACTGCAATACAATACAAACTATGAAAAAACCTGACGGTGGGTGTTGTCTTATCGAAGTGAAGTTGGGGGTGAAATCACCAAGAAGAATCAGGGAAGTGAACGATATACACTGAGGGTGAGTTATTTAAGACAAAAAAGAAACATTTTGAAGTTATCAACAGAGCTAGGTTGACTATGATAGCACGGTGATATCACAGCTAGTGCACTTGTCAAGGAAATCTCGATCTCGGTGAGACTGCAGGTAAGAAGACAAATCACGTGAACACACGAGCGAAGTAGTAATCGTGTTCCGGATGAGGGCGATATTTCCACAACCAGGAGTATCTCACTCTCTACCACATCGATAGAGAAAATAGGAATACTGCGCGACATTAGTACTGTTGTTGAATTTGAGTGTCAGGGAAGACCGGTAATTGCATTTTTGATGGATCTGGCATCAGGTAGAACGAAAACCTAACAACAGCTTATGCTAAAGGCCAGATTGTTGATTATGGAAGTGTGGGGGCG